TTAGTATATGGGATAGAGTGATGGTGTCAAAGGAGAGATTATGAGAAGTGTAGAGGCTGTGATTGATATAAGGATATAGAAGCATATTGAAAGATAGTGGAAGTGGAAGTGGAAACAAAAGAGAAGTAACATGAAGATATAAATGAAGAAAAGGAGAGTCCAACATCACAACACCCAGAAGATATGAAAAGAAACAATCTGCTCATCAACACGAAATGTCCCATAAGAAAATCAAAAACACATACCATAAACCTTATGCACTCTCTGATCTTAAAAGTAAATTGTCCATCACGCCAAACATCATAGTAGAACTCATACCTGTATCAACACGTGTATTAGTAAATTTCAAAGACCCGAACCCTCATACCTCATCTCTTGCAAAGATACCACAATGAGGCAATCTTTCTCTTCTTTGAGGAACTTCCTCTTACTACTTCCAGTTCCATTCTAGGAATCTTCAGTCCTGATATATCAAAAACACCAACATACCAAAGACTTGCCGCCGCCAATTTAGGACCTGGAAACTTAGCCAAAGGACTAAAGTAAAGCCGATAAACCACCAATGTGACCTGATATACTAGGAAAGTCGTGATGAGAATCAAGAGCGAATGCTCCATGAATGGTTGTAGAATTCCCATTGTTTGAAGATATAAGGTTCTCTTCACCTCTGTGTCTTTTGTATATATTGAAGATGTTGATGATCTTGATATACTTAAAGATGAAGGACTTCCTATTATTGTTGCCATAGTAGTAAAATCCTCCAACCTCAAGAGAAAATTGCGGCACCCCCAATATAAAATTGAAGTCATCTTAAAAGGACGAAACCTCACTGCCGAGAAGAGTGAATCCATGCTTTGAACTTGAGCGAGGAAGACGTATATATAACCGAAGTGTATGAGTTGGCAATGTCGAATAGAAATTGCAGTATTCACTTTCTCCGCTCGATTGTTGGTCAACCAACGATTCTACCTGACCACCAAGTTATTGTCAATAAACAAAAGACATTTCTTCAGTCATATTCACTCAGAAATATATCTCATCTCAAAGAACACCACTTCAACTTCAGCGTCTATATATCTTCATCATTATTCCCCCAGAGAAAGTGATGGTAAAGATATAAAGCAATATAACACCATCAATAGTGAAACCTCACCCACATCATATTCACGAAAAAGGGTAAGAGCGAAGCAAACACAACCGACAACCATCAAATCAAAAGGCGTCTGAAACAACACATATCAGAATCAGGAATCAACAATATATATACATATATCAATACAAATAGAACATTCGAACCCGACCTCAAACCACCATCTCACAACCAAATCCGTACCCCGAAAATCCAATCAAGTTATCGACTTGGGTGTCTTCTCCCATCACATTTGTATCACCAATATCCCATACCAGGTACCATGAGACCCGACGTACCATACATATCTCAGATCTTCACTTCTTCAAGCATCGCCGCCACAATACTGAAACACGGATTCTCATCCAATAGCCCATTCCGGCAAAGTGAAGGAATACGATTAGAAATTTCCCATCGCATTGGTGCTACATTGGCTTATCTTGGCATTTGTCCCGAAGGAAATGAAGTTTCTTCTTCAACAGATCAAATGGTTGTGTACAGCATGTATGCATATGTACGCATGTGCATATACATACATGTATGCAGGTTTGAGGTCTTGGAACGAATTCTATTTGGGGTTTCTCTTATTGATGCTCTCATTCGTCCCTCATTCTTCTCAGGTGGATTGTTCAGTTCCCCATCCGAACATTACTGCTCGGCTAATTGAAGTTTCCATCCCATCGGTAGCACAATGACTAGGAATGGTCTTGGCGATGTCCCAATGATCTTTTTGGGTATTGGTTGGAGGGATGAAGATGTGGTTTGTTGAGGGATGATATAACCTTAATTTGTATTCCTAAGTCACGATACTGTATCTTTTTTTGTTCTTCATGGGATGATTTTGTGAAAGTTAGGGGCAAATAGTAGAGAAGTTAGAAAGAGGATGACTTTATTTTCAAATTGATAAAATAGGGGAAGTTATATCTAAACTAGACGAAAGAAAATCAACACCATAGAATATCACCTATCATTTTCTCTCACTCCTCAACACCTCCACTTCTCAATCCCATATGAATAAATCAAGATCCAATCTCAAATATACACGAATAGTTCTCGATCCATCCTTTCTTCCTTCCTACCTACATCCACACGTGGTGAATCCGGTCCGATGTCGTGCAACATAACTAACGCCATTTCCGCATCTCAATCCAACTCAGCTGCATACATAGCTACATGCATACCCACAGATCCACAAAGAAACATAAATGAATCTAGATACATAGCTAGGTAGATCATCAACCCAAATTATACCAATCAATACAACGAAATCATCCATCTCCCGTGGTAGTATTGAAAAAGTATCTATGTTTCAGAGATTTTCGAAGAGATCTTCTAGTTTCTGCTCACAATTTCGATAATAGATGACTCAGTGATAAACATACAGACAGAGAGATGTGATATACCCAGAGACCTTCATCCAACCGACCAAAAGAAAGAACGAAACAAAAAATCCGGGCAAAGTAAGAAAAACAAGCTCATAATGCATACACACACATCGGCATTTCCAACTTTCAGTCGTACGAAATATGTCGTGTTACATGGTAATCTCATACTTACATCCCATTACCCAATTGCATACTGTATACATATACAACACCATCCCATCCTATCCCATCCCACACAAACCAACAAACATCAAATCCAACACATCACCCAGTACCATTTATCCATATCCTAAAACGAAACCTCAAAAGATTGACTTCTATCTAGCAGCGAATGTGGAATCTAGATGTATCAACATGTAATTTCATCTGCGATTGAAAAAGCATGTACACCTGGAATCTACCTACCCAGTGGTAGTCATATCATAGTGTATGACGAAGAAAAACGAATCGAATCAAACCAACTCACTCCAATTCTTCATTCATTCATTCGCCTATTCATTCGCCCATTCCTCCAATCATTCCTCCATCCAATCGTCAATATCCATCACATCTCAACTACCCATTCATTATCATGGCGTAAGTAAGAAAACAGCAAGACCCCTTTTCCCTCCCTTCTTCTTCTCTAGTACCTACTTACCAACCTACTCACCACGTGCATACGATTTTCAACCCGTAGATGAGTTCAATTTCCTCTCATCCACCTCCTCCCTTCTCCTCCCTTCCCTTCCCTTCCCTTCCCTCCCCTCCCCTAAGCCTAAGAGAAAACAAAAACTCAGCAAATATATAGATAATCAATCGACAAATATGAAAAAAACTCTTCAATCCCCAATCCCTAAGCTTAACAACTAGCTAATTTTCACCCCAACGAAAGATATGCATATATCCTCTTTCCCTTTCCCTTTCCCTTCTCTCCCCTCTCTCTATACTATACTTTAATCAATAACTATAACTATAACTATATCTTTCATTTACTATTAATATCTCCCCATCTCCCATCTCCAAAACCTTCACTACACACAATAACCCCAAACCCAAACCCCAAATACACCAACAATAAAACATAATAAAGAGTAAAACCCAGAATCCTCCAATACCTATCTATACACAGCACACAGCATATAGCATACAGCAGAAACTTAGTTCCTCCCAGAATATAATTCATACCTACCTACCTATTTATTTATAAGATAGCCCGGAAGATGAATTAATATAATACCATATATATATATACCTACCTACCTATTAATTATAATCAGATATTCTATTTCCCATCTCTCTCATCCGTCCATCCATCTCTTCATCTCCTCCCTCTCAACTCCCCCTCCTCCTCCTCCTCCTCCCTCTCCTCCTCCTCCTCCTCCTCCTCTCCTCCTCCCTCTCTCAATCCCATCCCACCCTCTCTCACCCACCCCCCCCTAAAAGAACTATCCCGATTTATCTAAACCTAAACCTAAACCAAACCTATCAATATGCAACAAAATAAACATATCCAATTACATAGAAAATACAACATAAAACTCTTCACTCACTATCTACTACCCACATCCATCCATCCATCTATCCATCTATATGTAAGATTACGCAATCATCAAAAGAACAAATCGAGATGCATCTATCTACCTTCCCATATACTCATCTATTCATTTAACTCCTTCCCCATTCCCCCTTCCCCCTTCCCCCTTCCCCCTTCCCCCTTCCCCCTTCCCCCCCTACCCCCTTCTTCAACTAATCAATCAATCAATCATCATCATCATCATCATCATCATCATCATCATCATCATCATCATCATCATCATCATCATCATCATCATCATCATCATCATCATCATCATCATCATCATCATCATCATCATCATCATCATCATCATCATCATCATCATCATCATCATCATCATCCACACAAACCACCACGCACCCATACGATAACAAAGCTCAAGCCAAGTCTCAAAGGAAGTGAAAACCTCAAATATATGCACCACCCATTTTACCAAGTCATTTCACCAAGAGACGCAACAGATGTAACAAAACAAATCAAGCTAAAGAAAGAAGAAAACTTTTATAAACTCTCAACGAATACTTCAACTACACAACCAGACAATGATAACTCCGTGTAATGTATACATTATACCTATATAGCATGATAACCGTAACCGTGTAGGCGTGCCGATATAACCTTCTCCTCTACCCCTCAAAGCCTTTTCAACAATTGCCGCCCCGCTCCAGGAATATATCGTTAGATCTAGGATGTGATAACCTAGGATAGGACAGGATAATGTCAAAACATGTACCACAATATTTTGCTCATCCCTTCATTTTCATACCCACGCCCATTCACCCTTTCTGTCATTTCAAATCACCAACCTATCATCCCATACATTATGTAAAGACCTGAGATTCGTATCCGCCTCATATATACTGCCGATACACCTTCTACTGCTCCGCCCCTTTAAACAATGATGAAAATTAAATAACCTCCCAAAACTTACTTAAGGATTGTAATTGTTCATAACTGCCCAAAAACTATCCTGACCCAAATCTCCTTCAAATTGCCACGGTTCAGGTTGCGCATACAAACTTGCGTCTTGGAAGTTTTGATATGGCAAATCATAATTTGTTCCTCCAAGGTTCGTACTCAAATCATTGAATATAAGATCATGCATTGGTTGTAAAGGAGCAATTGATGAAAGATCAAAATTGTGTGGCATAATATTATTGGCTCCTTGAAATTCCCAAGCAGCTGGTATATTGGGATTTGGTGAGGTTAAGTTTTGTATCGTGGGAAGATTGTAATGACTTCCATTGACAGAATTTGCCGAAGATATGGTTGAAGGATCGGTGGACGATGCAGGAGAATTGTAAGATTGTGCAGATGTAGAAGTACCAGATCTTACAGCTTGTGAGCTAGCGACTGTCGATGATGGATTGGATTCAACATCTGATGGAGTTGATGGTTGAGGTTTATTTGTTCCTAATGCTTTCTTCAAGCGAATGTTGATTGCTTTGAGTACACCGGCGGCTGTATTAGCAATTGCATTGCGACCAATCATAGTATGGAATCTCTCCATGGCCCAATCAAAATGCTGTAGAGTATTGTCAAGAAGATCCCTATTCTCGAATGGATGTAGGATGTAAATGGCGGCTGAGAGGATGATAGCGTCAAAGGTATTAAGGACAAGGTTGAACATTTTGTAATGTTTTGTCTGTAGTAAACTGAAATATTCACGTTGCACTCGTAAAATATCCAAACCAGCTTCAAGAGCAGAACGGCGACTGGAAACCGAAAGACAAATATATGGTCTATGAAGCGCCATTGTTGTGAATGCACCACCGTTTTGGAAGATTAATCTGCAAGGTGGAAGCCAGTAACAATCAGGGTGATTATCCCAAGTTGTGTCAGGATTTTCGGCTCTGAAGTAGGGTGGACATAACTCATGAATTTGTTTGATATTAATGTGCATCTTTTGAACCTTTAGTGCATCACTAGGTTGTGGTCCATCTTTCTCAAGGTAATATATATCCCAAAGCGGAGCCATAACTTCAACATACCATAATAGCATTGTCAAAGGTGTGGGCATATCTGTAGGTTTTCGTTCTATAGGAGGGGTCTTGCGTCGATCTTCAAGAGTCGCGGGTATGGGAGCGTCGATAGGAAAAGGTGGTCTTGGATCACGCATATCAATTGTGGTCGGTCGACCAAGAACCAATGCCATATGTACATCCCATAGAGCGAGTACAAGCCAAGTTCTCCTTCGGAGTTGTTGATGCCAAATATGTTCATATCCATCTTCAGGCTTGTGACGTTGAGGTTGATAATTATCTTTGTGTAATTCAATCTCTTGAGCGTCTTTGATCGTTTGGGATAGAGAATGCCAACTCTCAGGCACCATTCCACTATATTTCAAGTACGACGCCCTTACAAAACCGGCCTGAACAGTCACAAGAGTAGTGTTTCGTTTGCCTAACAAGGTCAAAATACTGACTCCCGAATCACTGTAATCAGCCGCAAGATCATCAAATGACATTCCCGCTGCATATTTGAGTGACTCCAAACTTGGATCATGATCTGGTGGTTGGAATAGTAAGGCCATAGCAATACATTGGAATAGAAGAGCGGGAAAGAATTGTAAATCTGCAGGTAATTCCTGTGGTCCCTTATTCAAAGTTGCAAAAGAAAGATTGTTCCAATTTCTGAGGTGATCGCGAAATGTTCCTTCGTCTAAAGCATAATATTGAAAGTTGACTTCGCGGAAGAACGTCTTTAAGAGCATATCAATGTAGGGTCGGGAGGGTAATTGTCGTATCAAGCTCTTGTATTTCTCCCGCAGTCCAGCATTCTCTGATGTTGTTATGGAATGCGATGTCACAGCGGCCCCATCGTTGACCTCTGCCTCTATCTTCTTGAAGATTCCTAGTGTTGTATTGGAATGGGTCCCATTTGACTTTGCATATCCTAAAGCACTAACTTTTGCCACGGAATCCGATTCGACTTGTGCATTCTTTCCATATTCCGCGTTGTCAGACGACCTTAAATCATCTAGTAATTGTTGTTTCCTCGCAGATTCATTCTCATATTGACAAACATCTTGCTTATTGCGATTAACACAATTCGAACATGGAAATTGACGATCACACTAGAATTGGTATTAGACAACTCATCTTATGAGAATACAACAAGAAAGCGAAAACCACCTTTTGCTTGCGCCTATGACACTCAGTACATGAGATCACCACTCTCTTTCTCTTCTTTGGAGCTTTCTGTGGGACCTCTGCCTTTATTGTCTCTGGGCCCGATGCGATATTGTTCTTAGTCCCAGCCGCTTGTAGATTATGGTTGGGAGGGAGGTTGTCGAGGTTGAGGCTATTGTAAAATTCGTCGCATGCGACTTGATTAGAATCAGGCTTCATATTGATTGACGTCTCATTCATTTGCATGATGAGCGATGGTAGAAGTATCGAGATGAAGTATGAAAGGTGGTCTTTGAACGAAAGAATATCCTTCACGCCACTCGCCAATGCCAATCGAATTGATATGCGATCGATATGCGACTATCGCAAGGCGAGGAACGTTTGAATGGAGGAGGGATTCGAATACCCCCACTTGTAAATACTCGTGGGGTGGAGATGTTTGTTCGTGTAAGGGGTAGATAGGAAGGTGTTGAAATGTGTACGAGTGTTGATTTTGAATCGTAGAAAAGCGGCTCTTTTGCAAATTTGGGATTTAAGACTGATGTTAGACGATTCTGAGATCTTGGTAGTACATATAAGGCTTTTTGGTCGTCCGTCGCAATGTATGTAAGAATGTAAGAATGTAAGAATAGTCGATGATGCCAATCAAATCCTGGTAGATCGTGTGAGGTACAGAATCTTTCGGATGTAAGGAATCTATTCTTGTTGACGCAAACGCCGAAAGGATGAAGAAATAAAAATGTAGAGTGGCGCCGTGGCGGGCAAATGGGCAAATGGAATGGGCAAATGGATGGAAAAAAAGACGGAGAATTTCAATTGCCTCAGGCCAAGATTGAAGAGATCAAAGGGAAGGAGATGAATGTCAGACTGTAGTATCTACTAGATAGTAATAAATACTAGGTAGGTATGGCAAATATGATGGGCGGGGTGAATCTTTATTTTTAGCTAGAATTCCTAGATAGGTAGGTACGGCACCTAGGTACCTAGGCAGAGTAGAAGGCACATAGTACCTACCTACCTACCTCTGCCGTGAATCCTCCGAAATATGCAAGTAAGTAAGTAAGTTCATCGCTTCCCGCGCACCGATCGATGTATGCGCATAGTAGGTATATGCAGATGGTAACAAGTAGATGATAGATAGTACTTGGAATCAAGCAATCTAGCTATTTGATCCCTCTGAGTAAGTTACTTGTCTGCTTGTCTGCTTACTTACCAAGTGTAAAGGTACTTACTTATCCAGACCGAAATGACGCTCCGCTGGCTCTCCGAGGGCCATTGCCTTGGAGGCAGACTAGGTAATGAGGGCGATGGAAGGTATCGTGGGTGAGATGTTCAAGCACCTGGTATCCTCATGTCGAAGCACAACACAGAACATACAGAACATACAGAAAGTACAGAGGATACAGAGAACACACAGGATACAAAGGAAAGCAGACAATATAGTGCAAACTCAAGGAAGAAAATCTAAAATCTAATTTTACTCGAGTACCTGTGTGACATCAATTTCATGCTTCCAATGGATCTGGTAAACTCTAATGGGTACTAAAATCCTTGATTATTAAGGTTATTTAATATATTGAATGTCTTTGTATATTAAACTTTTTGTCAACCGTACAAATTATCTTCCATCTACCTGGTAATGTAATCACGACGACATCATAGACATCATATGCCGATAAATTCCTTCCAGAATATTCTTCTTAGTTTACTTATCGTCTTGTGTCGGAAAATGGGAGTGTCCGTTCCTTGTGCACAACCACGTGTATCCTCATCTTCCCCCTCCCCCAAGATAGACCGAGCCCCATCAACCCTACCTTGGAAATCGGATCAACCTCTCGTGACCAAGATTCAAAATTCCCTTCCCATGTCGTGCCATGCCATGCCATGCTATGCCATGAGAGTATGCCATGAGAGAGTAGACATAACGGAATCCGAAGTTTCCGACTCTGAGATTTCCCATACAGTAGTGCTTGACTATTGAAATCCACGAAACGGAAGCATAGTTAGTAGTCGGTAGCTAGGTGAAGAATGGTAAGCAACCATCGTTGTACATTCAGCCCAACCAGCTTCAGACTGTTTTCAAACGCGCCCACCCCCCACCTTCCGAAGAAATCGCATTCGAGAATGCCATGGCCATACCAGATGGAACATAGGATTTCGAAATCTTGATACAGATGAGTTGGCGAGCATGACCTGAAAGAGGAATAGATGGGGAGACAGCTCAGCCACAAATGTTTTTGAGGAATTTCGGTTCGATGTTTGCAAGATGCTAGTGCTTCATGTGGTGAAGAGAGTCCTGGTCTAGATCGGAAGCTTAATCTCTGCACTGCGGAAAAGGATAAAGTACGGTGTACTAGGGGTGTCCACGGGCGGGCGGACTATCCCCAAGAGCCAACATCTACTGTTCATCGATTGCGGTACTCTGTAGACTTGGCTCGCTGGGAAACTATTCGGAACGCTTTTATGGAGCATTCAGGGGGTGGTGGGAAGTGAAGGATGGGTAACGTGATACATCCAAATGCAGATGCAAGGATCATTCTGGATAGTCTCTGCGCAAGTTGTAGATAAAGCACGCTCTAACCACTTCTTTAATTTAATATGGAGCAGAGGAACGCGAAATGAGCGAGAAGAAAAAAAAGGTAAAACAAAGGGTCCATTAGTGTCGTGTTTTAGTTCTAGTCTATGAGACTATGAAGGACCTAGACAGTAGTCTGAAATGTCTGAAATGTCTCCCAAGGCTTCTTTTGCTAGTGCTTATCATTTGCAGCGGCGTGCAGCAAATGATGTGAAAAATTGAGATCTCTGATTGAGGGGTCGGAGGGAGGTCCTAGGACGAGATTATTCATGACCGAGATATATAGTACCGTACGGGTAGGTATGAGTGAAGTGCGGATTGTGAAGTGTGAAGAGTCAAGAGTCAGTCACCGGTGAATATGAACAACTTGACACTTTGGACCACTAGCTACCTAGTACCGACCTAAGTATGTGTGGAGAATAAGAGTAAGTTACGAGTGAGAGGAGGGTGAGTGAGGGTAAGAATAATAAAAACCAGAGTAAGAGTAAAAGGGAGAGTGCAGACAGCAACAGAATCCCGCCCCCGTCTCAATCTCCCGGGGTACTCCAGAGACCCCGATGGTATTTTTACATTCACGCCTCTTTCGCTTACGATACCCATATCAATCAGGAATCAATGCATGATGACGCAAGATGTCGATCGATTTTTCTACATCCCATCCAGACCTTGGGCCGGGCACACTCTCTCGACTCTTCACTTGGAACCTTCTCTCTTTCTTATTTCTTTCCTTTCTGGTCCGTGTCCCGTCACAGTATGAGAGGGTGAGAGGATGAGAGTGTGTTCATGCTAAGAAACATCAGGTAAGACGAGGTCCCCTAGTATTTACTAGTATTTACTAGTATTTACTAGTATTTATTAGGTAATCTCCGCCAGTAGAATCGCCAGGTGAATCGAAAGTCAAACGCGAACTCAATAATTGATACCTACTGTACCTAGGTAGTACACTGATGAGAGACCGACCAAGCTTATCTACCTACCAATCTGCCAATCGACCACCCGACCCTCCCAACCGTCACCACCCAAACTTTCTCTTCCTTCGTTGGCGTGTTTAAGAAAAAGATAAGATTGTTAGGAAAAAAATTAAAATACACATTAATACTATTCCGGCTTAGACTCCCTTCACTGTCTAAGACTTCTATACTCGATTTCACTTGGTCTCTCTGCGAAAACGGTCCCTATAAGGCATTGGCATTTGATTTGGTGCTGCATTGTCTGTACCTATCTATCATATCGAAAAGGTGGAGGGGTTGCTCTTTAACCCAATCCAATGCATACAAGCAATTAGAGACTAGGTGCGTAAATCTCGACTACCTCCTTGTCTTTTCCCATTAACTTTTCCATTCAATATCCCGATCATCAATAAAGTCAAAATCGTTCATCGCTCCATTTCTGATCATCGCATTCATTAGACAGATCTCACTGCCTCGACCATTCCCACCCATAGACTGATCATAGACTGATCATAGACTGATCATCACCTTGACTACCTTCTCTCGATCCTGTCGAACGTTCCGAAAGCTGGCCAGCCATTCAATTAAAACCAAGCGCAGATGGCGCCGGTAGCAGCAACAGTTGCGCTTTCGCACGTCGAGGGGATTTCCGATTCCGCCAGAGCCAGAGAATTATACAAGTATGTTCATCGTTCAATTTGAAGTGGTTGCACCAGTGTAACAAGAATCATGCAAGGAGACACAAAAAGATTCACGCATTTGGAGTCAAATAGAAGGAAATCAAAGATGTCTCTCTCATGAAATGGTCGAGAATGGCTCACTGCCGAATGCATTTGGCACCGCAAGTTCAAAATGTGAAAGAGCCATCATACTGATATCTATCTCCTCCAGGTACTATCAGCCTACGGCTTCCATAAATACCGAGACATGTTTTCCAGCACCCCAACTATCCAGAGAGTCTGGCAATCCGGATTTAGAAGTACAATCTGATATTACTTCAACAAAAATTTCTTCTCCAGATACATCATTGACAGCATTCTGCCAGCTAGTGTCATGGAGATTAGAGGTGCAAAGAGCAATGATCAGGTATTTTCCAAGCATACGTATCCATTTTCTTTGATTCGTAGCTGACAAATCCCTCAAGTCTTATCGATGATGGCACGCAGTATTTCATTGCAGAGAGCACAAAATCATTAAACCTAGTGGATGCAACAAAGCACAAACCAGGTGATGAGTTGTGGCTCGGCTGTACTTCTGTGTCAAAGGCTGGTAGGTTGTGTGAGAAGTATGACAAGAGCGAATTTGAATTCAAAATCAAGTCATCAATTGTGTTTAATCTCTGCTCCAGGACCATCGAAACTGCCCCAACCGTATTGGGCGAAGAATATCCTTCATTCATTGTCAATGATTTAACATTAGATGATCGATTCAATCAACTTTCTTTTGTTACGGAACCCCCACACCTCAAATTTTATGCAGGAGTTCCACTTATCACCAAGCGAGGCATACCGATTGGAAGTTTATTTGTGGTCGATAGTCAAGCCAGGCCCGGACTTTCCAAGGATGACATCTCTTTCTTGGGCACAATGGCATGCACTGTTATGAAGCATCTCGAGTTGAATCGAGAAGTAGAGGAACATCGACGTGGTATGAAGATGAGCAGAGGTCTTGCATCATTTGTCGAAGGTCGTGCAGAACTCGAAGAGGCAGACATGGAAGCAGACGATGGAGAAGGTACAAAGATTGTTGGCCAGTTTGAAACAGACACTGGGATCAGACGACAAAAGTCAAAGTCTTCATCCTCAACAAAAGATTCGAGGGTTTCAAGTGCTACTTCACTTTCTCTTAGCAACGGTAAAGAAAAGGGGCATGTAACCTCAACTTCAACGATTCCTACAAGGATAGAAGGTACCGTTTTGACGCCTGAACGATCGGATTCATTCACCAATGAACGACCAGGAATGGAGTCCACACAATATTCCTCTTTTGGAGAGACTAGTACAACTGAGCAGTCACCGTCCGATATGTGCAAGACGGATACCCCTGACGAGGAGTTTACCGAAGCTTCGGCTTTAAAGTTGCTTTTCTCACGCGCTTCCAATCTTATTAGGGAAGCGTTTGAAGTAGATGGTGGGGCTGTATTTTACGACGCACAAAAAGGTTTCAGCAGTGATACGCAAACTTCCAACTTAGAATCGTCTGTTACTGATAGCCAGACGAGTGGTGACGATGAAATGAGAAACGGATTTAATCCTCAAGCTTCGATTTCACGACCTTTTACTCGATCGTCGACAATGTCACAAACACGAGAAATCGAGATTTTGGGATTCTCCACCCCCGAGGCATCGTCGATTAATGGTGATCTATACCCGGGAACTCATTCATTCTTACCATTCGAAGAAAAGTCTTTACATCAGTTTTTGCGCCGGTACCCCCGCGGAAAGCTATGGACTTTTGATTCGGATGGATCCATGTCCTCAGCGTCAGATGATGACATTCTTAAAGGCTATAAATCTTCTGCAAGACCAGGCAGAAATCAACAACGTGGAAAGAATAAAGTGGCTAGGGCTGCAGCAGATGGAAGATTTTTGTCGAATCATTTTCCTGGTGTCCGCCAGTTGTTATTTGTCCCACTTTGGGATGCTGGTCGTTCTCGCTGGCTCAGTGCATGCTGTGTTTGGTCAACAGAGCCTACGCGTATTCTATCCAAACAAAACGAATTGTCGTTTCTCTCTGCGTTTGGAAATAGTGTCATGGCTGAATGTTCCCGTATAAGTACCGAAGTTGCTGATCAGAAAAAGAGTGACTTCATTGGAAGTATTTCTCGTAAGTATTGAGCGATGATTGCCAGAATATTATCAAGGGGCTAACGATGTGCACAGATGAACTAAGAAGCCCGCTGCACGGAATACTTGCGTCTGCTGAGATATTGGATGATCTTTCATTGCCAAATTTAGCTCAAGAACTTGTCGAAACGATTGATAGTTGTGGCCGTACCCTTTTGGACACTATTGTGAGTCCCTTTTTGACTGCTCTTGGGTGCAGCTCACTCTCATTTCCCTTTCCTCACACCCCGGACCTCGTTCACCCTGCTGACTACTTCGTTTTAGAATCATATTCTGGACTTCTCTAAAATTAGTAGTCTTGAGAAGAATTGGCGTAGAAATCGACGAGGCTCCACGAAACGAAGATCGCAATCGAGTAATGCTGGTCCCCTGGCTTTGCAACAATCCGACTTACCTATGATTAATCTGTTTGCGCCAGTGGATGTCGCAGTCCTTTGTGAAGAGGTGGTTGAGAGTGTTTTTGCTGGCTACGTTTTTCAAAATGTCACGGCAAAAACTTTTGATATGGTTCATGATATACATGACAAAAGCTCGGATTCGAAAAGACAATCAGGATTGCTTGCCATGTCATCTTCAGCGAACCAAACCCCACAAGTTTCAGTCATCCTGGATATTGCTCTAGATGACTACAATTTTACTACACAGCCCGGTGCTTTCCGAAGAATCATCATGAACTTGCTCGGGAACGCATTGAAATATACGTCACACGGCTATGTACGGGTCAAGTTAGAGACTGCTAAACTAGATGATCTTAATGTTCCTGGTGATGGGAGGACTCCGAGATCAATGATCATATTGACAGTGACTGACACAGGAAAGGGCATATCTAGCGAGTTCCTTAGATCAAAGCTTTTCACTCCATTTGCTCAGGAGAACACCCTCTCGAGTGGGACTGGATTGGGACTGTCTATTGTGAGGAGTATTATCAACCTGCTTGAAGGAGACATTACGATCGATAGCGAATTAGGACGCGGTACTGGTGAGTAACCCTGAGCTTTCCGGCTGCGTAGATATGACATGTTGTTCCAGTACTAACACAATTCTCCAGAGGTCAGAGTTACCTTGCCCCTTCTTCGCGAAATGCCAAAAGATACATCAGCACCAGCAACACCAAAAGCTGTAACCTCGTTATTACGTGAGACAGACGAATCAATATCATTATTGCGAAATGAGATTAGCGGTCGTGAAGTAGGCCTCTTTAATTTCAATCCTCCTACTATAGACCCTATACTTGCAAGGAAGGGAAAGTTTCTTGAAAGTTCCGTCAGAAATTTCCTTACATATTGGTATGGTCTGAAGATTGTGCCATTATCGAAGAACCCAAAAATTATCCTAGCGAACGCTCCAGACTTGTCTGTTCTCGCGAATCTCCGTAAAATGCTTCCTCGCCACAGTAAACCGTCAATTTTGGTTCTATGTCCGCATTCTTCACGCTTCAACCACTCATTCGCAGAAGCTGGCATCAAAGGCAATGTCACCGTAGTAGCGAAACCAGTGGGTCCACTCAAACTTGCTAGAGCACTTCGATCTTGCCTTGAAGGTGTGACAACTGCAAGTGGTACAGCCATCACGCCCGATTCATCTAGCATGGCGCAAGCTAGCACTAATGATCTCAGTAATGTTTTTGAGGATTTGCTGATTTCTCCGAATGGTGGCGAAGTATTGGATAATAGTCGTATGGCGGCTGATAGCGAGAATGCTCGGAAAGCTATTGAATCACCGACTCCAAACGCACTTGTTGAAAAGGGCAAAGAGTTCCCATTTCCTTTACCTTTAGGTGGTAAAAACTCTACTTCACATGGGGAACTTTCTCTGGATAATAACCTTCTCACCCCCATAGCTTCAAGCTTTGGTCTCACATCTCCACCTAATCCATCAGTTGGATATGTGACTAGTCACCCATCTGGTTCTTCAACCACAACTACAAGTACACGCCAACCTTCAATCGCGATCGCAGATTCTGACCCCTTCGCACCAAATCTACTTTTAGTAGATGACAACATGATAAATCTCAAACTTCTGCGTCACTTCATAACGAGATTGGGATACACAACGGTTCATGAGGCAGAAAATGGACTTGAAGCAGTAAAGAAAGTCGAGGAACGACCAGAGGGATATGATATCATTTTCATGGATATAAGTATGCCAATTCTGGATGGATTCGATGCTACAAAAGAAATTCGAAAATTGGAAAAGTCAAGACGAGAGCGAGCAATAGCCAACGATGGAACAGACAAGAGTAAGAAGAATGAAGCATTAGTGGTGGCACTTACGGGTTTGGCGGGTAAAGATGATGTGGAGAAGGCGAGAGCTTGTGGCATTGATCTTTTTATGACGAAGCCGGTGGCTATGAAGGAGGTGAGGAAGATGTTGGAGAATTGGAGGGCTAATCAGAAGGACTGAATGGGAAAGTGGACGATGCTGATGAGTGAAGACATTTGAACGGAATGATGGAACGATGGATATGGATATGAATCGTATAAGGGACTTGCATTTTGAGGCGTTATGGAAACATCATGGCAGCATCAAAATTGGGACATGGATATCTAGGAATTGTAACAATATGGTGGGACGGAGCGATAAAAATATGGCATGGCGTTTAGCTTTAGGCTTTGAGCTTTCGAGAGGGAGGGGCTCTTATATACCCAGGTGTAATGCATGGAATTTGTACTTGAGATGGATGTGGCTTTTTGGTTTTTAGGAATGATTGGGGGATTCTTCAAGTTGGATGGAAGGGATGAATTGGTGTGGAATGGATGTGATGTTAGATAATATACCCTGTGGTGGGGCGATGGTTTGATGGAAGGATCGAGGTGATGATTGATGGGATGGATGAACAGATATGTATTATATGAGATGAGATGATGAAGAAATCAATAAATACCAGGTACAACTATATCCAGTGTCTCATACTTGGACGGTGTGATATAGTGATAGATTGTAGATTTGTAGCATATGAGCCTAGATTATTGTGGATTAGGGGGTTTATTTAGAAGTAGGTAGTGTCTGGAGACTAGATACCTAGGTAGATAGGCGGTGGGTATGTAATATGTAATATGTAACCATCTTTTTGTCATGATGAATATAGATATTATATGTATTATGTATGTGTATGGGGTAGGTCGGGGTAGGTGGATATTGGGTATTTAATTCTCATCTGGTGGGTGAGGGGGGGGAGGGGGAGTGGGAATGTAATAATATGATATGGTATGATATGATATGATATGAGAGTGGAGAGAATAGAAATGGAAATAGAAGTAGAAATAGAAGTAGAGCAAAAAGTTGGTGTTTGGTTTGGTGGAATGGAATGGAGGGAATGATTGGTATTGGTATTGGGATTGATATGTGTAGTTGGAAAATAGAGGTATAAATAGTATTGGGATTTGTATATGAATTTATGGATTTATGAATTTATATGTTTATGAATGTGTTTGTAAGTTGATGAGTTGATAAGTGGATGAATGGGTAGGTGAATGAATGAATAGGTAGATAGGTAGATAGGTAGATAAATATATAAATATATAAATCTTTACAGATTTAATTACATATCTGAAAGGATTAAGGGTGGATGCGTGATATAGGGGGTGGATGTGTAGTATAGAGAGTGAAGTGAAGTATAGTATTTACAATATTGGATATATAATGTGTGTAAGGAGATAAATAAGTGAGTAGGTAGATGAGGAAGTAATATAATAATATTTATTTGGGTTTGATGTTTAATGTTTGAGGATATCGGGGAGATTAGGAAGATTGGGGATAGATGTGTGTGGTGTAGATATGTATGTATGTATGTGTGTAGGTATATAAGGTGATGTATGTGTGAGTAATTATCAAGTATGTCGGGTTTGTGTTTAGGTCTATGTTGTGTTTAGATTAGTCTTGATATTTATCTGTGAGGATTGATTTGATTTGATTTGATGATGGGGGGTTTCATGTTGTGTACTCCGTAAATAGATGAATAATGGTGGTAATTATATATAAGTCGTGAGGGAGGGAGTATGTATATAGTTGGGTGAGTGAGAAGGTATATTAGTATTTATTATAATCTTTATCTATAGATAGGTTGATGATGATGATGATGATGATGGTTGTATGTGTGGTGCTGTGGGTTTTGTGATGTGGATTTGTGGGTATGTTGATTGTGTATGTTGATTGTGTATGTTGAATTGTGTATGTTGATTGTGTATGTTGATTGTGTATGTTGATTGTGTATGTTGATTGTATTGATGAGTGAGTAAATGAGTAAATGAGTAGGTGTTTTTAGGGTTTATATTTGAATAGATAGATAGTTGTTGTGTATGGTGTGTAATGTTTGTGATATGGATAGTGTTTATAATATAGTGTTTGTGATATTAGGTATTAGTCGAGATATGATGTTGGTGATGTTTTGTTTGTGATATAGTGTTTATGATATAGATGGGTGGGTGGATGAATGTGAGATTCGGTTTTATATATGGATTCAGAAAGTGTATATGTGTACATGTGTGTATGTATGTCTGTGTAGTTTACTATGGGTAAGTATTTTTAATGAATTGAGATTGGGATTTTAATATCTCGGTTCTAAAGGAGAAAGGGGTTGGATGTGAATATATGTGTATGCTTGTGGATGGTGTAATAAGTAGGCAGATGGATATTTTTAATGAATTGGGATTTCGAATTTGTGTATCTGGATTTTGAGGAAGGAGATTGTGTATAATTGTGGATGAATAAATAAATGAATTTGTATATTTATTATATGAGTAAGTGAGTAGATGGGTATATAGATAAACTGGTATGTGTTTTCGATAAATTAAATTGGGGATTGGGATATAAGATTCGCATATCTGGTTCCTGAGGATGTATATATGAATTGATGTATGGGATCTTTACTTTTTCTTGATTCTTTCTGTCTATTTGGGGGAGTGAGGAGGGAAGTAATGGAAGTAACTGAAGAGAGTGGCAAGTATATAGTTAGGGAAAGTGGGAAGATAGGAGAGAGAATAAATGAGATTAATAGGGGAATGAGATGGGATTTTGAGGGGAGTTATGTATGTTTATTGTGTAGATGGATAGATAGACATCCTCAAGAAATTGGGATTAGGAATTATATATTTGATTCTGGGGTTGTATGTGTGTGTGTGTATGCGTGTATGTGTGTATGTGTGTATGTGTGTATGTGTGTATGTGTGTATGTGTGTATGTGTGTATGTGTGTATGTGTGTATGTGTGTATGTGTGTATGTGTGTATGTGTGTATGTGTGTATGTGTGTATGTGTGTATGTGTGTATGTGTGTATGTGTGTATGTGTGTATGTGTGTATGTGTGTATGTGTGTATGTGTGTATGTGTTCATTCGAGTGAGTGGAGAGGGAAGTATGTAACTTGATAAGTGGGAAGATAGGGGAAGTGAACGATGAAGAAAGTAAGAAAAAAGAAATAGATTGAAATGGAATTTATGAAAGGATTATAGATGGGTAGTTATGTATATTTGTAGGCATTGTGTATATGATTTGAATTGGAAGTGAAATTGAAATTGGAAGATGAAGATGAAGATGTAAAATTGGGAATGGGTTTTATGTGTTTAGGTTTTGGAAGGGGGGGTGGTGTGAATGTATGTGATCTCATTACTTAGTTGTTTCATTTCTTTGATTATTTGTATGGGAGAACTTGAGTGCCGGGGGTATCATTGTGAGAAGTAGGAAGATACGGGTTTGTGAGAGGAGGGAATTGTCAGACGAGGAGATTGTAAAAATGAGAAGATTGTAAGGAGAAGAGATTTTAGGAGAAGAGATTGTAAGGACGGGAGATTGTAAGGAAAAGGAAGGGAATGATACGGTATGTACATATCTAGATTCTGGACGGAGAGCGCCGTGTGATTTTGTTTTTTTGTTTCTTGTTTTATCCATTTGAGAAAGTGAAAGAGGCAAGTTTCTGTAGCTAGGGGAAGTGGGAAGATGCGAGGGAATGAGATAGGACATACGGAAAGATTATGAGAGGAGGAGATGGGACTTATAGAGGAATTGTAGGTAGTTATGTATTTATATGGGTATTAGGTTTTGGATACGTAATTTGAATTGTAATTGGAACTGAAAGATGAAAAACATGAAATGAATGTTTCTTTCTTTGGGGAACAAGATTAAATACGGCAGTTCACTTTTATGCTCTTAGAATCTATAGCAGATTCTATATAGAAGTACCTAGGTAGGTTACTTTAGACTAGATTCTATAGCGGAATGGTAGATGCTATAAGTGGAGGGTAAAAGTAGAATCTATAGGGCAAGGATGAAATCTATAAGAGGAGGATAGAATCCATGGGTAGAGAGTAGGATCTGTAGGAAGAGGGTAAATTCTGTAGACGGAGAGTAGATTCTATAGGTTGAGAGTGAGATCTATAGGGGGAGGATAAATTCTACAAGTTGAGAGTAGAATCTATAACTATTATACTATCACCTATTTTCTGTAGATTCTATCTACTACAGACTGAATTCTATGCTCTTGATATGGATTTTATTCTAGAGTCTATTCTAAAATCTACTTCAGAATCTACTCTAGAATCTAAAGGGCACGAGAGTAGAACAAATGCGATTTTTAGAGTATCAAAGTAATTGATTGATCTTTGAGAAGCATAAGAATAATTTACCAAATCAAATATAATGCATACCATGAGTTGAGAATTGAGTTAAAAGTTGGAAGTTACGAGTCATACTAATCGGAATGATAAGAAAGGAAGAACATGGGAAGATACTGATGGGCTGGTTTGAGATTTGATAGGAAGGACTTGTTTTGACTTTGAAAGATGATGAAGCCTGCTCTGCTCTGCTCTGCTCTTTCCTTCTCATCTCTTTGATTAAAATTCTTCTTAGGGGGGGAGCTAGCTTTCTGCCGAGGTCTTGTGAGATGCGTTGTCCTGAGGTGTTGTTTGGAATAGAATGAATGGTTAGGTCTCGTGTATATGATGTGACATGAGGGAATTATCGTGTGATCCAGCAATCATCTTGGTCCTTGGTATATCGATCGTGAGATTGGTTAATATGTGAATGAGTGATAAGGATGAAGATGGAGATGGGCTGGAATTTACGTATGGATGGTGGGTAGTCGGGTCTGTTAGGTATGTAGGTAGGCAGGTAGGCAGGTAGGTATATACCGCCACTCATACAAACTCAATTGCCGAATCGAGAGAGAAATGATGTCTTGATCGTGAGTGAGTTATTAGTCAGAATTAAAGCATCAGCGTCATACTCGTTGAAAATGAATGGTTCATCGAGGAAGTGCTGTTTGGATTTGATGTCCAAGACTCTTGGACCCGGAACTGACATACTATAATTTTAAGCTTACTCCGTAAAAATGGTTCTAGTTCTACTTCTATTTCTTTAGAGACGATCTTATACTCTCGTAATATATTTAAAGTTACCCGGAGCATCAAATTTACAATCGTCAATGGCTAATTACTCTAGAGCACACTAGTATTGATGATGGGAATATATCCAGATACACTAGTATCTTATCCGCATTTAGCCGGATGTCGGTACTTTTCAAAGGTGGTACCGAAGACCCCTTTTGTGAAACAACCTGGGAGTGGAGGCGCTCGTTCGCATCTTTAAACCAATGTAATGCTCTTTTCGCACCAAGTGTATGTATGATGTATCAAGCAAGACACTTTTACTTGATTAATAGAGAATAATCAATCAAGACCAGGCAAATGATTATTACCATTCAAGGGGACGGATGACCTATCTACAATATCTTACTTCGTACTATCATGACATGAGTGATGCGGATTCCGTATGTGTTGACAGATGTTCACTAGACCACTATTAGAATACCCGTACATCAAGCTTTTTCACGGTTAACACTATCACATCACCACTTACTCGATTTGCAATTTAAGTTTTCCATCCAAAATCTTATTTCATCCCCGTTCATCCCATCCGCCAATCCCCATCTCCAAAGCATCACCAACACATTTGGCAACTACCGTTTCGATCGCATGACGTTCATCCATCCCCCTTATCCCAATTGGCAAGTCTGGATCTTGAACCCATAACTCTAATTGAGAAATTCGTCCGAAATTGCAGTTGGTTTCGGACTCATGAAGCCTCAATGCGGGGTAGTACCTTGCTCTATCTTTGCATATAGCCGATGTGCTTTTGTGGGTCGAGGCAAGGATTTAGATTAAACATTTAGAAACGGAGAATAAAGACGTTTGATGTAGAAATATTGTGGATGCAATTATTGCATATCCAATACCTTTGCGGGATATATGGAATAATGTCACTTGAAGGTTCAGTGGTTCAAGGCCAGATTGAATATAGTGGAGACCAGATGTGTTTTAAAGTTTCTCTTGGGAGAAATGATGGATGAAGGGGTGCTTTGAATGGAGTAAGCGATCTTGAATCTTATATATAGGTTGTATCTGCTCTCAAGTTTAGAGAAAAAAATCATCACATTCACATACTCTCTATCTACAATCAACTTCTTCGCTCTTTCAAACAAATCTTCAAAATGGTTTCTGCATCTTCCCTCCTCCTCGCTGCATCAGCTATCGCTGGTGTCTTCTCCGCTCCAGCCGCGGCACCCGTCAGCGAGAACTTGAACGTCTTGCAACAAAGAGCATTGACTTCTTCCTCTACCGGTACCAGTGGTGGATACTACTACTCCTTCTGGACCGACGGAAGCGGTGGTGTTACCTACTCCAACGGAGCTGCTGGTCAATATGCCGTAACCTGGACCGGTAACAAGGGTAACTTTGTCGGTGGAAAGGGATGGTCCGTTGGTTCCGAGCGGTAAGTTTTCATCCATTCCTTTTGTCATCCTTGAAAAACACATCAAACTAATCCCTCCCCATAGATCCATCTCCTACTCCGGATCCTACAAACCTAACGGAAACTCCTACCTCTCCGTCTACGGTTGGACCACCAACCCCCTCATTGAATACTACATCGTCGAAGACTTCGGTACTTACGATCCTTCCTCCGCCGCCACCGAAATCGGCAGCGTCACCTCCGACGGTTCCACCTACAAGATCCTCGAGACCACCCGTGTGAACCAACCTTCCGTGCAAGGAACTGCTACCTTCAAGCAATACTGGTCTGTCCGTACCAGCAAGCGTACCAGCGGTACCGTCACCACCAAGAACCATTTCGCTGCCTGGAAGAAGTTGGGTTTGACTCTCGGCTCCAGCTACAACTACCAAATTGTTGCTGTTGAGGGTTACCAAAGCAGTGGCTCCGCTACCATCACTGTTTCTTAAATCTGCGATGGATAGAATGGTGGTTGATGAATGAGTAGATGGGGAGTAGATGGGGAATAGATGGGGAGTGGATGAAGAGTGGATGGAGAGTGTTGGGAATCTGGTTTCTTGTATATATTCCTTACGATGTTGTTTCTGGCAATACCGGATGTTGTTGTTTTTGTAGGCCCTTAAATTCTTTCCTACATGAAGAAGTTTCCATTGGATTTAAGTGACATTGTGATTTTTGAGTTCCGGAGTAGTGTGCAAAGCATGTGAATGACGACGAATTGAGAATATTGACCTACGCTTTCGAAGATTTTTACAGCTTTTCAATGTCACATTTCCACAACAGATCGATCGGACGAAGCCGTGATCTGAAGGGTAAGAGTGAAATCTCTTAGTGAAAATATTATTACAAATGTTCTGACTATTTGGTTTCCATTGGATCTGCTCCCATATCCCTCATATCTTTCTTCGTGTCTATCATCGAATCATACCATATCATACCGTATCGTATCGTTCATCGCATCGCATCGCATCACCCCCCACCCTCCGCCATGATCTCGAAAGAAACTCCAATTTCTCTCCCCCCCGCTCTCAGAAATAAAATAAAACTTCCATAAACACTAACATCCTGTAAACAAACAAAAATTCAACAAATAACTCACAAATTCTCATACATTAAACCCCATCCAATCCAACCTACAGATTCATCACCCATCACCGATTTCTCAAACCCCATAACCGGCATCCTCACCGTCACATCTCCCCCACACCACCCCTTACAAAACGCACACACACACACACACACACAAAGTTTCTCATCCCTTCTTACATCTCCGCTTACTCTCAATCGAAAGCTTAGCAACCCTTTCTATCTGCTGCAACTCCCGTATCTCCACTCGTTGCTGAATCTGCTTCTCACGCAAATCTTCTCGTTCCCGCATCTCAGCTTCTGTCTCTGCTCGATGTCTAGCTCGCTTAGATCGTCGGATAGAGTGTTCAGGTTCGTGCTGCTGTGGCGATTCTGGAGATTCTTCTGCGTGTCGTTTGGGGAGTTGGGTGCGCTGGGTTGGTTGAGCTAATCCGCGGATTGGAAGGGAACGGAAGTTCGGGAGAGATTCGAAGGTTTGTCTCTGTAATCTTGCTTGGTATTCTGCTATCTGAGCTCGGATTTCTTGTTGATGTTGTAGAGCGAGCTGGGTTTGCTGAGATAGTTGAGAGAGTTGGTCGTGAGCGTAGTGAACGTGTTTCGCTAGTACATTCTTTTGATCTCGTATCTCGCAAGCTCGTTGGTCGTAGACGTCTCTTGCATCCATTGCCTTTTGAGCCAGTTGGTCTTCAGCTAATTGGTCTTGATCCAGTTGGTATTGGTAGGATTGATCTTGATCCATTTGCTCCTGATCCATTTGGTCACGATCTAGAGTCGTCTCGTAGGTCGATTCGTTTTGTCGAGTTCGTTTCTCGTGAGCTATTTGGTCATAAACATCTCTTGCATGCATTGCCCTTTGAGCTAGTTGGTCTTGTTCCATTTCGTCTTGATCCATTTGGTCATGAGTTAGAGTCATCTCGCAGGTCGATTCCTTTTGTTGAGTTCGTTTCTCGTAAGCGTCTCTTGCACTTTCAGCACGTTTTTTTTGGGCCAATTGATCCTGAGCGAGTCGGTCACAAGCTTGCTTCGCTAGTTGGAACAAATCAGTCGGTTGTACTGGTTGTTCTTGAGCTGGCTGCTCTTGGGCCACTCGCTCGTGAGCTAGACTCGCCTTCTGAGTTAATTTATCCTGTTGATCTCGTTTCTCGGAAGCTCGATTCTCGGAAGTTTGTCGCTCGTAAAAGATTTTTGCATTTTGAGCTATCTGTTCTTCGGTCAATGGATCTTGAGCCAGCTGGTCGCAAGCTTGTTTCGGCTGTTGGACCGCTCTAGTCGGTTGAGATAGTCGTTCTTGGGCCAGTTCATCGTGAGCTTCTTGTAACTCTCGAGCCTCTTGAGCCAGCCTCACCTGTTGAGCGGCTTGACCGTAAACATTTTTTGATTTTTGCACCAACTGAGATATTTTCGTCGGTCCATTTGGTTGATATTGTTGCGCTTGCTCAGCAGTTTCTCGTGTTTGCTGTGAGGCTAAATTCTGAACTCCCTCAACATCTTCCGCTATCTTGTTACCATAATGCCCGGAATCTCCCAGCGTAGTAGACTGTCCAAACTGAAAGACGGCGGCAGGATTGGGATTTCTGAAGGGGTTTGGATTCAAGTCAGGTGTGTGTGCGGTCAACGGGGAGCGTTGTGCGGCAGCATTCGTAGCTTTATGGGGCTTTGAATGATTCGAATTGTGACCTGAAGCTTGGTATGGCCAATGCGGATTAAGGTCTCTGGATGCCGAGGGTATGCGAGCCTGGAATTGGAATCGTTGACGAGGAGAAGGTTGACGAGATTGAGCTTGGCAAGATGGAGCATGTTGATCTTGAACCTCTTGGGAGACTGACAGCGCTCGAAATGGATTAAGGTCGACTATTTCTTGAGGTTGAGGATTATTTGTTTGGGTGTTTGAAAGCTGTTGAAAGTTTGGATCAATGATGTCTTGATCTCGAAGAATCATGGAGGAATCAGCATGAGGAACACCAGCACTTACCGTAGCGAGAGTATTGAGTTCGGAGGTCATATCGACATCCCCTGTTCCGTCTCCAGACTCCTTTTCGACCGTGCCGTCCAATCCGCTCGCGGATTTAGGATCTTGCCCAAATGGATCATTGTTGCTGAGTACATGACCATCTTCATCAAGTGGAGGATAGCTATGCAGCATTGGTGAAAAGCGCAATATATCGTTGGTTTGATCAGCAAGTTCAACGCCTGCGTCACTTGTATTGTCAAAGTTCTCAGGGCTATTGGATAGTGTGACATCACATTCCTTCTCGACACTGGGAAGAACCGTATCTTCATTGTTGTTTCGGTAGCCAATATTGTCTTTGTTCAATTCGGTCATAAGATCAATCGCGAGATTGAGATCATCCAGATCACTTAGGGTTTTATTGAGTAAATCATCCTCTTTGGATATGAGGTCTTGGAACCTAGCTGCCTCGGCCATTCTCTTGCCTCTGTTGTTCTCACTCTCTTCACTGACACGATCCGTCGCCATCGTCAATTTTTCTAGATTCGCTTCGAACAGTTTCTTCATTCTCCCATGACCAAAAAGACGAGACCGAAGCCTTTCTGCCTCGGAATGTGCTCCTTTTAATTCCTCGAGCCTTGATATGGTCTCTTTAGCCGGACCTGGAGCTGGTGTAGCGAGTACTGGTGCGGGCATAGGACATTTTGGTACAGGCTTCGCAGTATATGGTTTAGCCTTCGGCATCAAAGGCAAATTGGCAACACTGTATTTTCGCTGGTCTGTATTGACTATGGGCATACCCGGTTGCGAAAATCGCGCTATCACATCCTGATTTGGCTGTATTTCTTGTGGTAAGTCCGCGTTCCTGTTCTCCAGTGATTCTCCTCGTCGTCTAGCTTCCCTTCTTATATCAGACCCTTTACACTGAAAGCATGTACACAGAAACCTGCCATTGCTGAAGGGAAAATAAGACCTGGGCTTCCAAACTCTTTCCTTGCTACAATACCGATATCTGGGACCCTCTTCGCTAGTTTCCGTGTACAGGTTACCTTGAGGATAACCTGGCAGATTTCGCTCATCTTCAGGAAGAGGAACATGTGGACCGAAAATTTGCAGCCATTGTTGATAGACATTCAACGTTGTGAAGTACTGTGGAGTAAACACCAGCAGGGGCGCTTCCAGGATAGAAGACCTCATTGGAGAAACTTGGCACGATACACTGCGGAACAGGCGTCTTTCCTACATGAACGTATGCCATTTTGTCACTGAAGTTTATGTTTATGCGACAGCGACAGAGTTTCGATGAGTAAATGGTTTGTCAAGTGTTGATGACTAAGGAAAAGATTCGGAAGTTGTCAGGAAGATATCGACAGTGCCGGACAAAAGTCGAAAGCTATCGGAAGAACAATTTTTTCTCTCGAATGTGTCCAATGAGATATGCAGTGAGTCGAGAGGTAGTCAATAGGAACACATAAAGTTTCGGGAATTATTCGTGTAGAAAAACCGACCGAGCGCGAATTCGTCACCTGGGGAACACTTAAGTAGACACGAGGCGGAGTCGAATTCACTTGTTTACATTTTCTTATCTTGCTTTGTGATCAGCCATGCCGAGGATAAATGGATAAATGAGGGGCTGAAGGGGGGATGAATGGAGTGAATGCTGAAGTGTCAATGATGATATTGTAGATCTTGAGATATCATCTCATAATTATATTGTGGTTGTCTCTAAGCGAGAAACGTTGAGATGTAATTGTCGTCTGAATGACAAAAGATTTTAGCGGGTGCATTGTTGAAGCTCGCAATCACCATTACTTAGTGACAAGACATATATTTTGGATGTGGAAGTTCTATCTTCTTTAGTGAAGTGTGTCTATTGAATGTAGATCCGTGATGTTTGCAGTTCAAAATTCAAGTACTAACTCGCTTAACAGTACGCCATTCATGAGCTTACGATTCAATACGCCTGATTATATCCATATATCTCATAATTAGGTCGTGATATCTTGAATTTTTTTGTCAGTTGATGGCATGGAAGTTCTCCGGAGGCGGGACATCACATCAAGGGAAGAAAAAGATGAGAAGTGAGGTAGCGAGAGTGTCGGGATGATCAATTGAGAGATAGAATTGTGGAGTGATGGATGATTTATTTATGAGATCAGAGGCTATGCCTACCTAGTAGTCGAACAGCATGTGATAGAGAAGACATTATGCGATCAAGACGCTGCCTGAGCAATGCATGAGCACTCTCTGCCTTGTGCTGACTGCTTACTGGGAGAAAATCACGGAAATCATATGAAAGTTTCTTCACCACAAGAACATGAGGATGTTCATTCATATGTGTGGTACATGGCATAGAGATCTTAGAAGATGAAATGAATGATATTAAAGATGATTACTCGCGCATGAAAGGTGTGCGCCCCGTGATACTGATTGGTGTATATCAGTTCCCATATCAGAACTCTGTATGAAAATAGCATGTCTGACTCGTCCTTGTGTTGAGATCAGAAATAACAACGTAGACTCCACCAAGTGCTTACGTTAAAGTGATTTTCAAAAGCAAGGAGAATTTCTTATAGAGTGCAAGCTTTTCTGGACTGATTTGTTTCCATGATGGAGAATTATTTTGATAGTCAAGAAAAGCGTACATGTGTTGGCAGAAAGTTCACAGGTTGGAACCCCCAGAAAAATCTACTATATATCAACATATAATCCAGAGAGGGTTACTATCTATAACCATTGTGTACTGAGAGATTAAATGTTGATACAGGTATTTGAATTACAGATTACGAGAAACCTCACTTTGTCTATTGCCTTGACAGTAAATCTTCTACTATAGTTCATCTATCGGCATGACAGTAACCTGTTATTTTTGCGTGGTTCATATTACAAACAAAATTTCATGTTCATTGAAGACGACTATGGAAACAATAACAAAAATGTCAATAAACAAACAAGTACTGTTTGAAGTGAGTCTGGGTTCAACAAATATCAAAGCCCTCGCTTCGACAATTGGTGTTCACACAACTGCTCGAGAATTCTGATATTGAAAATTCAAATATCGAAAATATAAACCCGAAGTAAGACCTTCAAAGGACTCTTGTCTTGTTTCGGGATTAGGATAGCCATTTAAAGTCCTAGAGCTCTTCCATTCTCCAAGCTTCCCACAATCTTGACAACAACTTTATAACTTCCAAATTCTTTGATTCGATCTTGTGTTTTGCTTTTAAATTCCCTGTTTGATAGGACTATTACTTGATATATTGATACGATCAAGACATGACTTATCGAATCTATTAGAATGGGATCTCGAGTTACTTTCTCTTGGACTTCAACAATTGAAGATCGAATCAAGTCCTTGGACTTCATATCATTATACGGTATACAATTCACAGTAAGTCCACAACTACTCATAGCTTTCTTGTTGATTCCAGAGTCCATGGTAGCTTGCTTATAGCCTCCAATTTCTCTCTTATTTCCAGAAACTGATCTGTTGTACAGAAAAGAGTCTCCCCCAACAAATTCAAGTCGACATTATCAACGCCAGAAAAAATTATGGGGGGCAGCTTAGTTTGCTTGTTATAGCGTCGGATAGCAGCATACCTGTCGATACTATACTACTCAAGAAGCACCCAGAAAGTCGCTGGTCACCCGTCGCCGCACTTCTCAGCACTCTCGGACTTCCGGAGCAAAATGAGGTTTTGCAGTTGCAAGTCCCAGGGGGTATTAAGCCATGTAAGTCACCTCATTCCAACGGTCAGTATGCAACTAGCATACCAACACCTGATCTACTTCTTAAGATCATGAAGATCTACATTCGACACTTTGAACAACTCTTCAGACGTATCACAACTGACACACATGACTCGTAGCGGTTCGTTACTTTCGACAACGACTCGTGGCTTCCGGCGTGCGCGGATCTCCTTCCTAAGATCATGACATATATATTCACCGCCTGGAACATCTCTTCAGGCGTAAGGGCCGTTGATATGCACGGCGCACAACGAGCAATGAGAGTTTCCAGATGCCAACTCCAACCCCACCACCATGGTGGTGGTGTCTCAATTCGATGAAAAAAATTAAGTGAGGCTTTTCAAGCTACCTCTACGATACATAGAGGGCTGACCTCGGTGTCAGAACACTGTAAGTCCATCCCAAGCTTTTCTCCTCCTGCAAGCATATAAGCTCTACCATTTCTAACATTATACCCAAGTGATGACGACCTTGGCCCCAAAGTCAACGAATATGACCTCGTGTCATTATTCCAGGACCGCTTCCCTCTTGTGAGCACGAAGCACCCTTCGTGGGCGATCTTGGCCCAGAAGTCAACGAGTAAGTCCTGGTCTCACTCTTCCAAGCTAGATTTCCCTCCTGCAAGGGGAGTGAGACCAAGACTTATGCATTGACTTCTGGACTTGCCGGATCACAAGATATGTTAAATCAGATTCGATATAAATGCCAACGTCAAATCTGCTCCCGAGCAGATCTTCAAAAATATTAAGTTGTCTGCCTGCGCAGGCAGGCTCTTCTTTACTTGAAGTGCCGGTGTGGCTGTGGGGGTTTCAACGGTGGTCGTCATTCAGATGTGAAAGATGTCTATATCTGATGTCCTTGGATGCTTGAAGAGCGCAAGGTGGCAGCTGCGTGGATGATGTGGAATTTTTATTGTCCGAGTTGTTGCTTTGCAAATACTTCTGGGGATAGGAGACGGGGGATGGGCTCATATTCTTGATAGTGTATATGCAGGAGGTGGACAAGTAGTAGTAATAAAACACAGTTAACCATAGCCGCTTCGGCGCGCGCTTTCTTTCCTCGTCGTGTTTGAACTGTTTGAGATCCTACTGGCAGAGAGTCGTGGATAATGTTGGTCAGTACTATCTTGAGCATCTCATTGACTGATAGCTGATAAGAGTTTAGGCTTCGTGTGCAGAGCAAAGTTTGGAGCTCATACTCCAACCAGCTTGTATTTTGGTCGTAGACAGGCCGTACGGGAAGGAAATAAGAGTTTTTCCAGTGGCTACCTAGTAAGTATCCCGATTTTAGTTCAATTGTCCATAATATAAAGTACTGACTTCCCTTTTGCTTTAGACAGTTAATACCGGTCTATGCCCCTACCCAAGGGTCCCAACGCCTTCATATGCCCTTTAGAAAGGGTATGCAATGGCCTTGCTGCCTTGCACTCGATCCCGGAGTGCTCACTTCCGATGAAGATGAACCAAATCAAGAATTTGAAGCGGAGGTAGAGGGTGGATGATGTTAGTATAATTCTTCTCTCTCAAGACTGCTTTAATAACGCTTTTTTTGATAGGTTCCAACGAGTTTAAAGACTTTCCAGGAAATTGCCTGCTTCGAAAAGATAAAACAACGAGAATTTGGTGCAGCCAAGGTGAAAGAAAGCAAATGGGACTCAAGGGAATTCAAATTCGCCGGTGGCTTGATTCAAGCCAGGCGACTTGCTTCCACAACCATCCACTCTCGTCTGCAGATGACTATTCATCGAGCCCTTACCTACAACCCAACCACGACATCTGGGCATTTCAAATGCCGCGGCTCTTGCTGGTTGTTGCTTTTCCCCTGCCTTGCCACCAAGGCAATATGCCTAGATAAGAGGCACCCCAGCCAAGATATGCCACTCGAGAAATCACTTCCTTCATCTTGAAGCGATTTCCAGAGGTATGCCGCAATGTAAGTTCACAATACCCAATATACTTCACAATTCTTGTGTTTGACTGACTTTACATAGCGCATCAAGGAGTCAATCATTCACTTCCGTCGGGAATTTCTCGATTGTTCTCTCGCTAAGACAGAGTATATTGAGTGGTATTCTGGAGGTGGACAATGTGGTTACATCAGCGAGATGTCTTACAAGTCATATTTTATGACACAATGGCGAAGCAACACGCTTGCCGAGGATAGTGAAATATACCAAGGCATGTTGGCAGGTAGCCCAATCAAACCTAGAGATCGGACCGAGCCAGATCAACTCCGAAACCTTATTTGGCAGAGCTGATTGGGCTGTCGGAGAAGGTATTTGCTAGTCTTGTGCGGAATTGTAATTCAAATTTAGTTTCATTGAAGTATTGCCATATCTTTTGTTCCAGTATAGTACCAGAAAACGTGAGCCGCTGTCACATACGACCATAGACTGAAGAGAATTGGGCATCCGTCCGCTCTGCCGTACACAAGCTTCAGATCGGTGGATTAGTAGTTGGTGGGTGACCACCAGCGAATCCCACTGTTGTATGTTTCTTTTTGCATTTTTGGCATCTGAGGGAGGGAAGTCTCTAAAAACTGATCCTCGACGCAATCTAGTGGACGAGTGTCTTTAAGAGACAAAGAGAACCTCGAACCATAAGATTGCTTTCGACGGGCATGCCTCATCTCAACGGCCCACTCTTTTGTCACCGACAATCAAGATCTACCCACCCTGCAACCCATATTCCATGGAGTTTTCTTGCTTCTTGATATAAGTCTTATCAGTACGGTTTCCCATACCGTGGATCTCCACATCTAGCTTCCTTCTTGCCCGAGCAACTGTAGACCGCTCTCAAAGGCATACTGGGAGTATATCAATCCTGAGCATCTTTGCCTAGCCTTTGCTTTAGTCCAGTGTCCCCAGGTTCTGGAAATATTAGTACAAGTGGAGGTTATGCTTGTGGATACCAAGACTGCGGCGATGAGTAGAAATTTGGAGTAGTGAAGAGTTCGCTGAAAATAAATGGTATACTTGATATGGCCTTGCATGTTGTTAGACTTCCAGCATCGAATGTATTTGATATTTGTTGTTGTGACTGGGATCTCCATGCAAATAATATGAGCAGTTTATGAATCTATTTGTGAAGAGCTGGCCCCTCTATGAATCAATGTCCGACATTTCCGGAATCCACTGTGGTGAATGAATTGTGCTTTGTTACCTGTTCACTTCTTCAAGAATGTGAATACCTACCTACATAACTCTGCTGACTGGAAACCCATGAGTGATCAGAGCTGATATAGAAAAGAGAGATCACACTCTAGGAAAGTTTTCGTCATTGAATAGTGACATTATAGAATTTGGTGGACGAAGAGGAAGTGAACGTTTGTATCAAAAGCAAATAGTGAAGATCTAGTATAAGCATTAGTGCACTGGTCACTAGGCACCCCCGATTTTGAAACAAAACGACCCTTCAAGAATTGACAGGAGCAAACGTTGAAGGGAAGGGGATTTGCAAAGGCAGCCGTGAACAAAAAGCAAGCCCATTGAAACTTCCTATTCTGAGAGTTGGAATTTCCAACTCGTCTCAAATTTCCAAATTCATCCCAATACCAAACACTAACTTCGATGTCGCTGATAGGAATGATGTTTCCGCATCTTCTCGCTCCTAAATCTCGTGTTGTTGTCGTCGAACAAACAAAGTTGCGGGGAAGTTCCCAGCCACCAAAATCAAAGCCACTCTTGCCACTTCACTTCACTTCACTGACTGCCGACTCCCGAGATTCCCATCCACCACCACTTCATCTGACAACTCACTCACACCACTCCTCACACAACACAACACAACACTCTCACCACATAAATCATTCGGTATCGCAAAAAGCGGAACTCGTCATTCTTCAACTTCAAGTATTCAAGGCAATTGAGCTTGGCAAACATTGGCACACATGGAAATCTATGGAACAAATCGTTGGAATACGAGGAGATCGGCATCCGTACGGTACTCATTACCTATTTATAGATTCGCATGCATCTGACGTAGTCAACTGTGTGGATACATCCCCCACTGCCTCCATTCTCTCGTACTCGCCTTAACAATGAATGAGACTTACTTTATGTAAATTTATTACTCCAAAGTGATAGAAATGCGGAGGAACAAGCATAAGATCGAGGCGTCCGGAAGATGCACACGATACCGCTTCGATGCCAAGATTTTCGTCCCCGCACAGCCTTGCATGCAGCGTGCATATACCGCTGGTCTTCTCGTATTGCTGAGAGGAGACTCTGCTGATGGGGTTATCAATAGTGTTAATAGATATCATCTGATTTAGTTGCAATGGAATGTATCTCGTAATTGACAAATGCAGACAATGTGGTCCTGGTGGGTACCCCGCTATCACGAGTTCCGATGGGTGAGAGGAGGCGACAGATACGGAGAATTCTCTGATGAATTATTGGGGCGGACATGAGGCTGGGGTGAGGGGCTTTTGAGGGGTAGAAAGTATATAAGATATGATGTGCGCCGTGGTGGAAGATCATTATTAACATCAACATCTACATACATTACTTCAAAGTATCTCAGATATCTACAAGAACTTCTACCTCACAAACAAACAAAACAACTTCCTCACCTCAACCAACCAAATTCAAAATGCAATTCCCAACTCTCGCTACTCTCCTCACCTTTGCCGTCAGCGCAACAGCCATCACCGTCTCCTACGACGTCGGCTACGATGATGCCGGCCGTTCTCTCTCCGTAGTTTCCTGCTCCGACGGAGCCAACGGACTCCTCACCAAGGGCTACTCTACCCAAGGTTCCCTCAGGAACTTCCCCAACATCGGTGGTGCATCCACCATCGCCGGCTGGAACGATGCAAACTGCGGTAACTGTTACCAATTGAGCTATGGAGGAAGAAGCATCAATGTCCTTGCCATTGACCACGCCGGTGCTGGATTCAACATTGGACAACGAGCCCTTGATGCTTTGACGGGGGGACAAGCAGTTGCGCTTGGAAGAATCGATGCTAGCTACACTCAAGTCGATAGAAGTGTTTGTGGATTGTAGATGGGTGAAGGAGTCCAGAATGCAAGCATGGGGATAGGAATGGAAGAATGAAATAGAGGACGATGGAGATGGAGATGGATATTGCATTGGAGATGGGAGTAATGGTGTTATGACGATTCACGAGTATGGTTACGAATATTTTGAAGCAAAGTAATAATGATAATGCAAGTTTTGCTACCTGATCTTTTGCTCCATCCGTGCATTTTGAATGTGATGTACTTCTTTGAATGTTATCCAAACTTTGGTGCGAACTATGGAAGCTCGGAATGTTCGGAAGAATTTTATCTGTTTTTGACATATCCAGAAATCTATTTCTTCACATATGTAGTATGATGAGAGTTCCTATAGATGTTCCAAGGCTCGCCATTGACAGATGGGCTTCGTTATATGGGTGCGTGTATCTTTGAAATGGAAATGGAAATGTATATAAATGGAGTCTATATTGATTATTCTATAATCTAAATGCTATTATATCTAATGGCATGATATCTCTGTTCCCAAATTCCAATCCGAAACGCCGTATTATACCCATATTCCTATCCCAAATTTAGTATCCCTTCAATAATTCAAATCGTACACCATCAGATCTCAACTCAACTCGTCACCCCTCAAGACACCCTCTTCACAACGGGAATCTTCCCACCCCAAACCTGTGTATGAAATCCCAAGAACGTCCTTAACTGCTCCTCAAAATTTCCCATATACTCGCTATGAGTATACCTACACCTAATTTCCTGCAATTTCTCCAATCTCAACAAACCCCCATAATTTAATTCCTCCCAGCTCTCCGCTCCTCCCTGTCCCTCATACTCCACCACTACTTCCTTACACCTTAACCATTCCTGAAACTTCAGATGTATATACATCGTATTATCCCAATCCAGGCCCTCCAACTGCACCACAGTGGCTCCGTCCAAAATCCTCCTATCCACCGAGTTCAAAAATGCCATCCACTCGACGAAGCGTTTTCGACCTTTGAAATTCTCCCCGCATAGATCCCCGGCGAAAAAGGAAATCGTGTCCGTGAGTGGATTTACACAAATAGGCTGTCTCATGCATTTGCTGAGGAGAATCCCGCAATTGCCACCAGATTTCCCACGAGATCCGGGGAATTCCGAACGGTAAAGAAGAGTGTAGTGTAAGAGTGTCTCGGAACGTGATTCAGAACAGATGGAGAGGGTGATGGGAGGTGGAGTAGAGTTAGCTTGGAGGGGAGTGATGTTGTAGGAGAGGGAGACGGTTCGGGAGGAAGGGAACAGGGAACGCCAGATTTGGCGTTGAAGTTCCAAGGGGAGGCGAGTGAATTGATGAAATTCCCAGGTAGGTGATGTTGAGGTAGGTGGTGTTGAGGTAGGTGATGTTGGCTTTTCTGATGTTTTTGAAGACCTTGATGAGAACCATGATTTTGGTGTCGTGATTGACTTTTTGATTGACATCGTGACCGATTTTCTCCTTTCCTTGTTGAACATGAGTCTAGATGGTGATGTTCCTGCTACTATCCAAACTCTATTCTAGTACATCGAAATAGAATCAAAAGAATGTTCAAGTGAGTATAATGAAAACAACAAAATTTCAAACGAGTAAATACGCCCTTGAGAAAATAACTATAAAAAGATCACAACACAAAAAAATTCCTCCGTGAAATTATCTGAAGTCTCCTATTTGAACTCGAGTCATGGACTATTTCTCTGACGTCTTTGCGCAATGAATCGAGTCGAGAAGCTAGAAAATTCTAGATTTTCTAGTGTTTCCAGCCTTATGATGAAAACCGAAGTTAAATTTTTTTCTCGCGGCGTTGGAAAAATTCACCGATATACTTTGACGATAAGGAAACTTTAAAAGGATATAGAATTCGGGAGGAAATGAAGTGAGATGAATGATTAAAGCAAAGCGAATAGATACCTACGTATGAGAGAGATACATGTGGAAGGATATCTTCACCGCCGTCGTGCGTCTTGGACAAACAAGCATATACCTACTCACCGCGCATTCCCACTTGAGAATTAAAAGATTCGGAACCGGATAATTATTGCGACGTGTGTTTTTGAATCTTTTTTCTGTGATGAAAGAGAACAGGAATCCAAGGGATTTCTTCTGGCGACAGTGAGGTGTTGATCCTACATTGTGTCAACGAATATCGAATTCAAATGTTTCATCCCATTTTTTCGACCAACACTAGAGATGCATCGTATGCATGCGAATCAGAGTCAATCACATGATACTATTTACTCGAACTGATTGATTGAAAGAT